ATTCATTTAAAAAAAAGATACATTACTAGGTTTAAATTTAAAATACCGCTTTGACATAATTAATTTTATCATGCTTTTCAAATTACTGTGATTGGCAATCACATAAAATTTTCTTAAATTCATCATTTTTTTAAAAATTATCACAATAAAAGTCACAATTCCAAAGATTCTTGTCAAATTCCAATTCTTTATTATAATATTTATTAGTGTTTTAGAACTTACTTTGTTAGCTAAGTGGTTATAAAAATTTTCTGTTTTTTTAAAAAAATTATCTTTATGCATTTTTAGATCGCTAGTGTTAAAAATTAAAATAAGATAGCTGTAAGATGCCATTATACTAAAAGCTAGGAACATAAACCACACTATTCTATGGATGTAGTGATATTAAAAATTTAACAAAGTGTATGATTATATCACAAATTAAGTGGGGTGTGTCTAGTGATGTGCTATTTTATGATAGCCTAATTTTTTTCGCATACAGTATGTACAGTATGTACAGTACGTATAGTATTTTATATAGTGTATTAGAAAAATAAGACTTAGACTTAAGCACGTGATAAAAACATAGTCAAGAGTTCCGGTACCTTTAATATGCCATGATTGACATATGAAAATATAATTTAGTAAGTGCTATTTCAGATTTACCCTATAAAAAAATTTTTATTATAATTTTCTGAAAATATTCTGGATTTTTATTTCAGAAAATTTTCAGAAAATTTTCCGATTTGTATGTTCTGAAAATGTTCCAGAAAATGAGCATTTTCCGGAACATTATTTACCATCATATTCCAGAAATAATCTGATATTTTTAAAAAAATCTGATAATAATCAGATTGTATTATAATCATATTTTAATAAATTATAAATATATTTATAAAAATTGATATTACATTCGTGCTATAAAGTACATTTTTAAAATTAATTCTAATTATTTAACCCCAATTACCTTAATTATAACTATAAAATCTAATCCTAACCCTAACTATTTTTCTAATAACGATATAAAAAGGATGTAAATTTCCCAAGTTGACATTAGACCTGCACTGTCCACCTTTAGACACAGACTTCCCTCTTCCCTAAATTCTCTCTTGTAATATTATAAGATTCTTTAGGAATAGAACCCTAAGGATAGCTTATCTTATTTATCTTTAATAAACATATATTTTATCTATAAACTATTGTCTGCCCGAACTGCCACAGACAGAAGGGTATAGTTTCTCCAAGAAGCAGAAATTATACTTACCTGTTGGACACCGCTATAAACCTGTGAAGGATCCCTGTAGCCGTGTCATTGTTATAGTACTGCTGTTAAGAAGGCCACGATACTGTAACATTATGAATAATGGTAGTTTCGATGAAGTAAATAAGTATTGATTTACTATGAAAAGGTTAGAAATGTGCAAATTTGTTGAGTTTTTTTTATAATTAAAGACTGTAATTCTAGTTTTCAAAAGTTTTATCATGATTAGCATAATTTGTATAGAAATAAAATGTCTAATTTATATATAAATATTCTTGATTAGACTTTCGTTACAAAATTCATCAGGAAATTTTTTGAAGAGATATATATTGATTATAATCAAATTAATCAATTAGTATCGATTAATTTTAATCGATTACAATCGATAAAGGGGTTACTAATCAATTAGAAACACTATTGATTATATTCGATTATAGCTATATATCGATTAATACTAATATAAATCATTAATCGATTAATATCGATTATTAAAAAATTCATAAATTATAATCAAACTTTGACAATAATTTTCTTGATAACTAGTAATTAGAATTAGCTAAAATTTTTACTAAAGATAATATTGATATTCCTCTATAATATATTTAAATTTTATCTAAATTAGTTAAGTAGTTCTTGAGTAATCACTTCTATATGATAGTTGATTTTTTAAAAAAATTAACTATCATATAGACATGATTACTCAGGAACTACTTGATTAATTTAGATAAAATTTATATATATTATAGAAGAATATCAATATTATCTTTAGTAAAAATTTTAGCTGATTCTAATTATTAGTTATTGAGAAAATCGTTGTCAAAGTTTGAGTATAATTTACAAATTTTTGATATATATTGTTAATAATCGTAATTGTTTATACTCGATAGAGGTGCTATTAATCGATAATAATTATTTGATTTTAATCGATTACAATCTAATTTTAAAATTTTCTGATATTAATTAAATAAAATTATATTGTCAGAGATGAAACAACCAAAACTACACCTTTAACAAAAGAAAAGGTCCAAGATAAACAGATATATAAAAGAGAACAAGATTGACTAACAATGCTCAATAGAAATATGAGATGGATTTTAACTTGGCATGGATCAAAGGTGTCTACTGAGTATCGTTAGATAAGTAATTCAGTGCACTTTTAAATGAATGTTGTAACTTGGGTTTATTACAAGGTTTTTATTAATGACTTTATTAAATAGAGCAGATTATATATACACTTCTTTTATAGACAAGAGGAATTCAACCTCTTATTTATAACAAATTTTATAAAACAAGAAAAAGATCAAGATCAAACATTTTTCCTATTTCCTTTCATTGAATTGTCATTGTACTCATGCCATATAACCCTTTTTGACCCAATTCCAACTCTTTCTTACAGCCATTTTCATTAAAATATTTGACAGGATGGAAAGAAGGCAAAAAGAAGGTAAGTCAAATGAAGGCTTTTGCACTATCATCATTCTTTACCTGTTAATTCACTTATTCTTTCATTGACTCTTCTATCAATTCATGTGCTTTTATTGTTCACGACCACACACCTTATCTGACAAGGTAATATTATCTTGACAGCTGTCATACTGAATCAGGTAAGCGTCTTTTGCTTCAATGGAATCATTGATAAAGCTTGGCTTTTATATGATTGATGTTTTGATGCTTCATTATAGAGGACTTGGCTTGGGCAGGTTTCTTGTATATAATCGTCATGATGAAATTGTGGGTCCTGGGGTACTGCAGTTCAACAGCATTTGCATAACAATTTTGTGTGTCCAACATGCAGAGTTTTGCATGATTCTTAGAGTTTTTGTACACATGGTTTTGCCAGTAACAATATTATTAACTAGGAACTGGAAACCAGTATAAGTCCAGAGCCCATAACAGCATTCAATTAATGTTCCTAACCCCTGAAAAATCTGATCATGTATATCACAGATCAAAATTTTCAGGGGCGTTACAAATGGAAAATGCCAAACTACATCTTTGATATTATTATTATAAATGCATCAAAATTGTAATTTCAGTCATCAAAGCACATAAACATGTAAGTCCTCCGCTTTGCTCCGAACAATTATTGTACTAACTAAATTAATCACATCAGATCTGCATCAGATCAAATTTGTTGGGGTCAGAACCCAAAATATTAATAACTTTATGTTTTTTTGATTATATTTTGTATTCTTGTGCTTTAAATAAAGTGAATTTATTACCATTCGACTCGTCTCAGTAAGATGAATCGAATGGTACTAAAATTCTTCGATTCTGATCAGTAGTTCGCAGTATATCATCAAAAAACACACGTGCGTCATAATACCCACCCGCGCCATAATACCCCACTTTCCCTTATACATTGTAAATTGCGTTAAATATTGCTTTTATGATTGTTATTTAATTGTCTTATCGTTAGAAAAAATATTTTCACCCGAGTTAAAATCACCCGATAAACTATGATTTAGTATTAGTAATATTTCGGGTGACTTTAACCCGGGTGAAAATAGAATTTTCCTTTATATAATTGAGTTCAAAAAATTGCAATTAATTGCCCCTCCAGCAATCAATTATTCGGTAGGCCTGAATTTAATAATAAATAGTTCGTTTATATAGATCCCTATGATTGATCTAGGGATTGGAACCGTTTAACCGTTTAAAAATTGCACCATAAGTCCGGGCAGAATTGTGTTGGTCGTGGGCTGGAATTATCTTAATGCCGGCCAAATTAAATGGTTAAACGGTTAAACGATTAAACGACTAAGAAAAATTTTAGGCGGTTCCAATCCCTAGATTGATCAATAAAATTATTTCGATATAATGCACCGTAGATATAAGACTTAAATCGACAAAACTTTTTTTCAAAAACTGATCGATAACTTTATACAGTGAACTAAGCTATACAATGTTATTGATCAGTTTTTGATAAATTCTTCTATAAAGAGTTACGATTGCAGACTGTTTTTCTCAAATCGATGAAAGAATTATTCAAAAATCAACCAATAATTTTGTAGAACTTAGTTCGCTGTATAAGTTACTTTTTTTTTTTTTTAAAAAAAAAAAAAAAAAAATCTCTATAAAAGTTTTGTCGATTTAAAAAAAAAAAAAAATCTTATACCGTAAAATGCATATACAAGATCCTCTAAAATAATAGGCCCACCATGAATTAGACCTGGGTGCGAACCGTGGAATCTTTATTAATCAGATATGGTTTTTTTCAGTTAGCTAAACTCCTGTTATAAATAAAAAGTATGTATACACTTTAAATTTTTTTTTCTTTTCATGATATATCTCTCAGCGTGTACTAGATCTGGTATCTACTTTAGAATGAAATAGCCGGCCTTGTATACGTACTTTTACGGTAATCACGGCGCAGTATATCGAAATAGCGTAACAGTAAGCGTAACGGTAATTGTTATTTTATATACCTTTTTTGGATGGTCATATCTGATATACATAACATAAATAAATGCGTTTTTTTGGTTAATGACTTTCATTATAGTTGAACTCTTATTGGTTAGAAGCACTGCATATATGCAATATTTGACAAATGTTTATATCAAAATATTACCGTTACTTTATTTGGTGTCTATGAAAATTATTAATTATGTATCGTGCAACGCGGCATGAAAAACATATTTAGACAACTGAAAATCTAATGCATTGTTTTTTTTATCTTTTGAATTTCCACCTGCGTTTCGGCTCCTTGTTCATTCTTTCGATTTTAAGTTCTCGGTACTTATCAAAATAGCCGGTGGAAATGAAAAGAGTTTTATTTAATGGATTATATTACCCAATAATTTCTTATTTAGTCAGTGTAGCATTACTCATAAGCGTGTCATGGGCTGATTTTAATCCTAGCTCTTATAAATCAATAGAGGAGTGCGTGGCGGCAACCGGTGTTTCCGTTATATCAAAGAATGAACCTGGTTATAATGATGCAAGGGTTGGCGAGAGAGTTAGGTAAATTACTTATTATTCTATTGATGGCTGCTATTATTAATTATTATTATTGTTATTGTTATTATTATTTATCGACATTAAGATTTATAAATTTAATAATAATGTCAAATTTTCTTAAAATTGTTTAAATTTATTTGATTTTCAATATTTCAATATAATTTCAGTTAAAATAATTTCACTCAACAACTCGATTATAAACTATAATTTATGTGATTAATTTAATTTATTTAATAGGTTTCAACAATATCCAAGGATGATAACTTATCCGAATAATACAACTCAAGTTCAACAATTAGTGCTTTGCTCAAATACATTTAAGATCACACCATGTCCGAGAAACGGTGGTCATAGGTGAGCAATAAGATATAAAATTTGGATTATTAATAAATGTGCTGTATAAAACAATATTAATATCCTCTTTATTAATAACTAACGATACATATATATCTGTATATATTAAATTAGCAATTCTGGCTCTTCTTCATTAAATGATTCTCTGGTTATCGATATTAGTAACATAAATTTTGTTAACATTACTGCATCGCAAACTGCAATCGTTGGTGGTGGAATCAGGCTTGGTCCATTATATATCCAACTTGCTCAAAAGAATTTTACTTTTATATCAGGAATATGTCCAACAACTGGTTTATCAGGAATTATTGCTGCTGGAGGTTTTGGTTTACAATCTCGAAAATATGGTGTTACTGGTGATTGGATACTTGAGGCTCAAGTAGTTACGGCTGATGGAAATATTTTAACTGCAAATAGTATTGTAAATGCCGATTTATTTTGGGCGATAAGAGGTGGTGGTGCAACTTATGGAATTATTACTCAATGGAAATTACAATTAATACCTGCTTGGGACGTAGTTTCTGTTTTCACCATTGAATACCCTTACGATTCTAATCTTTTTGCTTCTGTATTAAAATCATTCACGAACTTTGGTCACCTTGCTCCCAATGAACTTTCAACCACTCTTTATGTAACTAATACAAATTTTAAAATAGTTG